GTGGATAATTCTTCCCCCACAACCATGTCTCACTCAAACTAATAGCCAAAGTCCACACAATGACCTATATGGCTCCTCTATAAGGTCGTTTTCCTGACAGCCTGCTAAATTTGCCCGGCATACAACGCTCCAGCCACCAGGGGCTTCTCTTACTTCTTCCTGCTTCAGGATCCTTGCAATTTCTCAGTGAGGCGTCTTCTGACTAAGCCAGGCTGTCCACCTCTAACTCTCCATTTCTTTTTCCCTTCCCAGCTTTGTCTCCATGTCAGTTATTAAATTCTAGTATACCCTATGATCTATTTATTAGCTTGTAATTCTCTCTCCCATTAGAATGTAAGTTCTATGAGCACAGGGATTTTTCTTTCTTTTGTAAACTGACATACACCCAGTATCTAGAATAGTGCCTGATGTACAATAGGCTCCCCGAAAATAATTGTTAAATGAATAAGAACAAAAAGCCCCATTTATTATTAGACTTTTATAATCTGAAAGATTTTCATTCTATTGAGCTGCAATTAGTGTCATTGTAACATCCACTGACTGAATGATCCTAGGTCTGTTCTTAGCTTTGGAAGGAATGAACTACTTCCTATGATACATTATCAGCTAGGTATTCAAAGAATAGTACCATGTTCCCTAGGAGTTTTCTGTTTTTCAAATTTAATATACGCCATTATTTTAAACTGATGACAACACTAATTGCATAAACAAACAGGCAAAGAAAAAATAAAAACTCTATGCTTTAACTTTGTCCTCCCGCTTTTTAACTTTTTGTTTCTATTTATATCTTATTGTACTGTCTATGTATTATTTTTAATCAGTTCATCTTTTAGTCTCTCTACTCAATATATGAGTAGTTTTCATACCACAATTACAGTATTATAATATTCTGAGTTTTCCTGGGTACTTACTATTACCAGTGAGTTCTGTACCTTCAGATGACTTCTCATTGCTCATTAATGTCCTTTTCTTTCAGATTGAAGAACTGAATCCCTTTAGCATTTCTTGTAGGACAGGTCTCATGTTGATCAAATCTTTCAGCTTTTGTTTGAGAAAGCCTTAATTTCTGCTACAACATGTTTGAAGGATATTTTCACTGCATATACAATTCTAGGATACAACTTTTCTTCCTTCAGCACTTTAAATATGTCATATCACTCTCTCCTGGACTGTAAGGTTTCCATTGAAAAGTCTGCTGCCAGACATACTGGAGCTCAGTTGTATGGTTTTTGTTTGTTTTTGGAGACAGGGTCTCTCTCTGTCCCCCAGGTTGGAGCGTAGGGGTATAATCACAGCTCACTACAGCCTCAACCTCCTGTGCTCAAGTGATTCTCCCACCTCAGATTACAGAACAGCTGGGACTACAGGCGTATGCCACCACACCCGACTAATTTTTAAATTTTTTTACAGAGACGAAGTCTCATCATGTTGCCCATGCTGGTCTCGAACTCCCAGGCTCAAGCAATCCTCCCACCTAAAGCTTTCCAAAGGGTTGGGATCCCAGGCACAAGCCACTATACCTGACTCCATTGTATGTTATTTGGTTCTTTTGCTTGCTTCTTTTAGGATCCTTTTTTATCCTTGACCTTTGGGAGTTTGATGATTAAATGCCTTGAGTTAGTCTTCCTTGGGTTATATTTGCTTTGTATTCTACAACCTTTACTTGAATTGATACCTTTCTCTAGGTTTAAGAAGTTCTCTGCTATTATAACCCTTTGAATGAACTTTCTACTCCTATCACTCTCTCTACCTGTCTTTAAGGCCAATAACTCTTAGCTATGCCCTTTTGAGGCTATTTTATAGACCTTGTAGGTGTACTTCATTCTTTTCTTTTTGTCTCCTCTGATTGTATATTTTCAAACAGCCTGTCTTCAAGCTTAGTAATTCTTCTGCTTGATCAATTTTGCTGTTAAGAGATTCTGATGCATTTGTACGTTAATTGTATTTTTCAACTCCTGAATTTCTACTTGATTCTTTTAAATGATTTCAATCTCTTTGTTAAATTTATCTGATATAATTCTGAATTCCTTCTCTATTATTTTGAATTTCTTTCAATTTCCTCAAAATGGCTATTTTGAATTCTCTGTCTGAAAGGTCACATATCTCTGTCTATCCAGGATTGGTCCCTGGTACCTTATTTAGTTTGTTTGGTGAGCTCATATATTCCTCAATGGTTTTGATGCTTACAAATGTTTATCGGTGTCTGGGCATTTAAGAGTTAAGTATTTACTGTAGTCTTTGTGGTCTGGGCTTGTTTGTACCCATATTTCTAGGGAAAGAATTCCAGTTATTTGAAGAAGCTTGGGTGTTGTGATCTAAGTTTTTGGTCATTACAGCCATACCTGCATTAGGGAGTAACCCAAGCCCAGTAACACTGTGGCTCTTGCAGACTGGTAGAGGTGCCACCTTGGTAGTCTTGGATAAGATCCAGAGAATTCTCTGAATTACCAGGCAAAGACTCTTGCTCTCTTCCCTTACTTTCTCCCAAACAAACACAGCCTCTCTGTGCTGAGCTGCCTGGAGCTGTGGAAGGGATGTGTGTGTGTGCGTGACACAAGCACTGTGGCTGCCACCACCACTGGGACTGCGCTGGGTCAGACTTGAAGCCAGCACAGCACTGGGTCTCACCCAACACCCGTGGCAACCACTGCCTGGCTATGGCCTGTGTTCATTCAAGGCCCTAGGGCTCTGCAATTAACCAGGCTTGAGTCCTTCCCTTCAGAGTGGTGAGTTCCCCTGCTCCCAAGTGCATCAAGAGATGCTGTCCAGGAGCCAGGGCCTGGAGTCAGAAACCTTAGGAACCTACTCGGTGCTCTGTTCTACTGAGGATGAGCTGGCACCCAAGCCACAAGACAAAGTCCTTTCCCACTCTTCCTTCCCCTTTCACAAGCAGGCCCTGGCAACCTTTCTGTCTCTCTGAGTTTGTCTATTCTGGACATTTCATATAAATGGAATCATATAATATGTGGACTTTTGCATCTAGTTCACTGAGATTTTATGGTTAACAAAATCATAGGAATAATAAAATCAGCCCTAGTATGCAGGGTCTTTTGCTTTGTGTATTCACTTTTATTCTAACTGAGCTACTTCCACTCTGATTACCTCACTCAAAAGTGGTTTCTAATTCTGCTGTTACTCCTTTGATATTGATGATACAGCATTTCACTGAGATCTTGAAACATTTTTGATAAACTCTTATGTGAACATCTTTTGTTAGTTTGTTTATTTAGAAATGACTTGAATGTGAGCTTTCAAAGAAAAATTATTAGGTTGAGTTTGCCATCCAGCATCTAGAATTTTACGTTTGACATTCTAACACATATTGCTAACCTTGTTCTACAGAGGCAACCCAAGTTACCCAACATGCTTGGAATTCAAGTTGTCCTGAGCCAAAGGAGCAGACAGCCTCACCCAAGAAGAGTTGGGCAAAAAAAAGAATAAAAGGAAGACCCTAAGAAATACTAATATCAAAGGGATTGTTTAAGAGGAAGACCAGTAAAGATGACTGAAAAGAAGCCGCAAGGCACACAGAAGGAAACCCTAAAAAAACAATTTGACACAACTGTTCCCAGTAAGTAAAAATACAACTCATGCAAAAGCCAGAAAGTGGAAAGGGTACAGGAGGAAAGGAATTATCCCAGTGGTTCACTTTACTGATGGTGATAGGATCTCTTAATATAACCTAGATTTCTTTCACCAAAAGTAAAGTAGGTCTCTATTTTAGGACCACTTACTTCTGAAGTAGAAAAGATAAAGACATCTGGAAGAATTTCCAAATGTTAGAAAATTAAAGTATTCTCATCTATAATTTATATTCTATTAAATCATTTCCCTAGATCCTAAAGGAGTCGAAAGATAGGAATTGTAACCTTGGCTCTATTACTGTTTCACCAGGGACAACTACAGTATTCTTCTGGTTATTCAGTTTCCTAATCTGTAAAATAGGGAAGTTGAGTTAGATAATTCCTAAAGCCCCTTTCAGCTCTGGAATCCTAAGATTATATATAAGTTAGCTACATGAAAACTTATTTAAGGGATGAATACTATTAAATACCCAAAAAATTAATACAAGGAAGAGATCATACATACATAAGTCAAAGGAAAAAATTATAACTCAAATATCAGAGAAATCTGAGAAATGAAGTTCCTAGATCTATTTAAATAAAAAATAGCCATCACCCTCTAAAGGGTAAATGTATCACCAAATTAGAATCTTTTCTTAGCAGTAACATTTACTGGAGAGCAGTAGGAATTTATTTTTTAGAAGAGACAACAACATCTGAAAAACAGACCAGCAAGAAGAATAAGACACTTGTTCATCTGTATTTCTGTGACTTTTCTCACTTGGTGTTATTTGCAACTGTATTTTTCTGTCTGGCAGCAGTGCCAACTTCAGTATGAATCATATATTATTTTTATCATGTTGATTACATATGTTCACCAGTTTAGTTGTCCATATATGCTTGGTGTGGTTTGCAAATACTCAGTGACAAAATCCAGAGCACAGTATTTTCACAGAAAGTGTTTACTGTGAAATTTCTCTTTAGAAGTTTGCTTTTCTTTACAGCTTTGATCCATATGACATCCACATTCCTACATTTCAAATAATAGCTTTCACTTAAATTAATAAAATGTTTCACTTTGATACAACATGACTACAGTAGGATGTGGTGGTTCTACAGAGGACCTCGTTTTCTTATGTGATTAGAGATTTGGTCAAATTTGACATCTGCTAAAATTTTCCAAACTATGTTTCTTCAGTTTTACGGTGACTTAGTACTTACATTCTGTTATTCATCAACACTTCACAGAAATACTTGATTTGTCTGAATGAATTAAAAAACCCACAACTGAAGAAAATCAGAAAAACCTGGTTTTAAATATCAAAAGATCCTGAATGAGAAATATTTCTACAGGCCACAGTAAGTAAGTTATTGATCACTGTACGTCTTTGCAGGATGAAAATTGTTGCAAGATTGGACATAAGAAAATAAACTTACTGGTAAATATCTTTCCTAAGGACAGATCTGCCAAGGGGATTGTCAGCCTGGGGAGCCATGGCAACAGAGCCAATCTTCAAAACCACGGTGTCTTCTTTTGCTGCCTGATTAACTGTAACAAAAGAAGGAGATTCATGAATACACTGTGGATCTGTACATAACTTTATGCATAAGGAGAAATCTTTGAGGGAATGGAATACAGACACTTTAAGATAAGAGCAATACCTAAGAAAAAGTAAAATGAAAAAAATCATGTTTAAAATAAAAATATTTGATTCTTTTAACTCTGTTCATACCCATTAAGTGGTTTCCTGTTAAAATACACAATTAAAATAGCAAAGAAAAAACAACTCCACTCCCAACTTAAAAATTATAATATTAAATATATATAAGTAATATTGAAGACAAATGTTTATCTAACTTCACAATCTGTGTCTTTCTCCTAAATGATTTTCAGCTTTGGGTTCTTAATACTTCATTGTTGTCTACAAATATATTGAAGGATATTACAAAGTCAGTGACAAATTCTCAAAGCCATTTAAATTTACATGCTAAATAAGTTAAATACAACACACACACACAAACATAAAGTATATCACTTTAAGCTCCAAAATGTCAGAAAATCCAAAAGAAACATGATGACTGCCACATTGAAGATGGAAAACACCAACTATTTAATATGGAAGAACGTATCAACCTGTTATTCCAGATAACTTTTTAATTTTAATAACTTCTACTGTAAAATTGCTTTAGAAATTGGAATCCCAGACCCCTTTAAAATTCTACCTCCTAATGACATCTAAAACTACGATAAATAATCCCAGAAAACAAAAAAAGGTAAAAGGATGTATCTGTTCTAATTCTTTTCTTTGTATTAAATAAAATGATATTTGACTATACGCTCTGATTTAGGGCTGAAGTTCAGCACCTTTTCCACAACTCGCCAGTAAATTCAATGTCTTTTCTAAGGACTATTTGGGATGAATAGGAGAAATTAACGGCCCCATTCATTACATTTACATTTTACTCTCTATTCTCCAACAGATGACTATTCTCCAACAGATGATTCTACTATAGTAGCTGTATAAACACTGTTTAAAAAGTGCTAACAATATACAACTTTCTAGGTCTTGAAGTAAACGTATATTAAAACTTATAATTTCTCTCAAGGAACTACCATCTGCCAAAAATAGAACAGAAAATGACTGGCTGCAAGACCTAAGAAATATCCTGAACAGAACCTGCCTACAAAGGCATACAATCCATATTTCCCAAACTGTGGTGCCCAAAGAATGCAAAAGCTACAAGATTATTTCCAGCTGTATTTCCAGTATATTATTTCAGTGTATTATTTTCAGTATATTCAGTATATTTCAGTATATTTTCAGTATATTATTTCAGTATACTTGGTATGGTCTGATTCAGATTAGTCCAAGGAAAGACAGTCAGAATTAAGAAAATCAGAAAAAAGTTAGAAGAATAAGATATTCAGTGAGAGAAATAAGGAACCAGAATAAGATAACCATGAAGGGAGCAGGGTAAGGCAAAATAGTAGGAAGGTGGGAGAAGTGACAGCAAAAGGAGAAAGAAAAAGAGATGATCTATCATAACAAATATTAGCATGTAGATGTCACAGTAAAGACAGTATTTTTACAATTCCATAGCAAAAGATCAAATAGAAAACTACTTCTCATGCAGCTGCACTATTTTCAAATAACTTAGAGGGTTGGTTTGATTATAGGTCCTTATAATATGAACATTGTTTACATTTTACAGATCTTGCATTTTATGCCAAGCTTATCAAATAGTTCCATGTGGGTAAAACCTCTGATTAAGCAGCAGGCATCAATTAAATCAATAAATAGTAAGCCTGGAGAATAGACCATACCACAAAAGTGCAATTAGTGTATTTGCTAACCGTTCTTCCAGGCTACAGATACTACCCACCATATGAAAGTCTGAAATGTAACAGAAACATTGCAGTAAATGAGGTACATATGGAGAGAAATGACGTACTTGGTGTTACATACAAAGCCAGATCCAAGAACAGAATTCTGTTTCTGTTAGGGCCAAAAGTGTTCTCATTAGATTATACTGACTGTTATAATAAAAAAATGAACACGTAATGCAGATCATTCATAAACTAGATTAAAATAAATAATTTGATTATAGAAATTATTCAGCTTATCAAAATATATCATTGAGATGTAAGAAAAAACAAAAAAATGTATTTATACATGAAAGTGCCTTGAGTCATTTCTTCAGCTACTTTATTGCCGCAAAAAAATCAGCTTCTCTTTTTTAGCTTATTTCACCTGTATTTAATAGTTGGACCATATGAGGAAACGTTCCTTCTAGAAATATTTTCAACATGAAAATTAATGCCTTCCTTCCTTGCTTTAACTCTATTTTTAAAAATTGAGCCTCATGAGGAACTACTCATTCTGGACATGCTAGATTTTAAGAAGTTCTCTATTGTGAAATAAAAAGATTAAGCTGGAAGTCAAACACCTGTAGATTTAGAATCCTGATAGTAACTGCACATAACGTAAACAATATCCAGGTTTAAAAGCCGATTTTCACTATTATTTTTCTAAATAAAATATTGGAATGTTAAATATATTTTTTATCATAAACTGAAATGTAGACATGATTAAAGAGTCTTACATTAATGTAGCATATATTATAAGTCTGAAAGATTTCATCTTTTCTCGGGGCAAGAGAGTGTATACACGTGTATGTACAGATGTATGAATGTACATCTGTATGTGGCATACAGAAAGGCTATAAACAACTCTGAAATCAGGAGTTTGTATCAGTAACCAAAGGTTGAATAAAGACCAGAATCTTCATGCAATTGTCAGATAACATAAGAATGTTGCTTACAACGAACTTTTCTTAATTCCAACCTGAATAAAAGTGTTTTGGATACTTCAACTTTCATTTAAGATTCTCAATATAAACTCAATTTAGTAAAACATTTGAAGTCTCAAAAGTATTTGAAATTGCCACTGTGTAATATTATGCTTTTATAAAGCCAAAACTGTTGTGACAGCTTTCAATAAAAGTTTTTAATTAGTTATTGCCATACTGGCAGTTGAAGACAAAAGTTTCAATAAATATGTAACCAATGGCCACTATGCATATTAATAGAAAGTTTAGTTGTATTTAGTTTACCACTCATCTTTGACACAGATTACTTATTCAGTGACAGGCACGACTGCTCTGTGATATTTTTATAATAAAGTTTCTGCTGAGAAGAATGCTGTAGCAAGATTTAATTATTCTTTCACACTCATCAAAACAACTTACATATACTTTTTTTTTTTTTTTTTTTTTTTGAGACACGGTCTCCTCCTGTCACCCAGGCTGGAGTTTGGTGGTGTGATCACAACTCACTGAAACCTTGACCTCCTGGACTCAATTTCTTCTTCCACCTCAGCCTCCTGAGTAGCTGGGACTACAGGCACAGGCCACTATGCCCAGCTAATTTTTATATTTTTTGTAGGATAGAGTTTCGCCATGTAGCCCAGGCTAGTCTCAAACTCCTGGGCTCAAGCTATATGCCTGCTTTGGCCTTCCAAAGTGCTGGTATTACAGGCATGAGCCACCATGCCTGGCCTACATTTTTAATTTAATTAATCTGATAATCATCTTATTCAAACTTTCTTGTAAAGGTTTTCTAGAATAAAATGAATAGTATACTCTTGACTCCAACTTACTAGAGTCATTGATGATATTTATTTCTAATGAAATTCCTCATTCAATCATGATTTCCACAGTCCGCATTACAGCTTTTAACATGTATTAAATGGACACATCCAATCTCCCATATAAAACATAATGTAAGAATTATCTATACTTTAAAATGGTGAATTTGTTATATGAATTTTACCACAATGAAAATTTTTTCTCTGACCTTTTCATGGATAAATTACGATTATTTAAATTAATTGTAGCAAAGAAGAAAGATAAAGTATTAAAAAAAACTAATATAATGTGTCAAAATCTGAAACTTTGGCATGCATTTTGTATTTGTATTCTTAGCTTAGGCACACAGTCTGGCTATTTATAACACCTCAGATACATAGAGATGCAGGTACAATTATAAATAAAGATACAGATATATGCACAGATATAGAGACGCAAAGGCAGAACACAAAAAAGTAAAGATATGAGCAATGCATATGCCAGACAAAAGGATTAATACACAAAAAAGTATTAATAAGGAAAAGATATGCAACTCCTTAAAAAACACTGTACTTTTCACTAATCAGACCTACAAAAGGCTAAAAATAACCTCTGCTAGGGTAAGAGTAAGAAATAGCAGCCATTTAGGAAAGTAATTTGACATCTCTTACTATTTTAAAGGTATGGAATCCATTGATCTAGCAATCCTTTTGCTGGTAATTTATTCTACAGATACATACATCCAGGCCACACAAAAAAATACCACTAAAAAGTTGTTTGTTGTAAAAATATGCATATCTGCAAAGGATTACACTTAACCTGAAAGTCCACAAAAAGACAAAAGAAATTATGTTTTCCAAAGACAACTATAACAACCTTCCCCCATCTCATATACTCTTATTCAAAGTGACCTTAGGAAGTACCTAGGCACATGAATTCTGAAATTATATGTTAAAACCCCACCATAGCCACCACCAAAAAAAGAAAAAGCAGCAGCAGCAGCAGCAGCAGCAGCAGAAGAAGCGAAAGCGGAAGCAGCAGCAGTAGCAGCTTTAAAAATAAGATGGCAGAAGTCTGGAAATATTTCTGCAATTAAAATTAGTTGAAGGATTTTCCCAGTTGAAGCAACTCAATAGGAAACAACAAAACTGTATGATATGTAGTATTAATGTTTATAACACAATAAGCCCAAAACAAAAACATATAAACAAACAAAAAAAGCCCCACAGAAAATAAAGTTGTTCTTTTTTTCCCTCACCTTTCTTAAATAGAATGAATTGTAATCTTTTTGTCACAAATATATCAGTGAAACAGAACCTGTTTCATTAAACCTTTGGTAAGTGTAACAGAAAATAAAGCTAGAGTTAAACAATGAACTTCAGACTTCTGCCTCACCACAGAGCTGCTCAGGTGCTCAGCACACAGCTGCTGCTATGCTAAGCATGAGCTCCGTTTGCTCTTCTTGTTGACTAAACTATGCCTGCATATTGGCATTGTTCGGAAAATACTACAAATTGTACTCTAATCCACAAGGGCTTTCAAGAAGTTTGGTGGTTCCTCAAAAACAGAATTCCAAACAGAATTACCATGGGACCTAAAAATTCCACTCTTAGGTGTACACCCCAAAAGAAGTGAAAACAGGGCCTCCAACAGAAACTTCCATGCCAGTGTTCATAGCAGTATTACTCACATTAACCAAAAAAAGGGTGGAAATGACCCAACTGCCCAATAGATTAATTAATAAACAAAATGTGGTATATCCATACAAAACAATATTATTCAGTTATAGCAAGGAATGAAGTTCTGATATGTGCAGCAACTTGGATGAGCCTTGAAAACATTATGCTAAGTAAAGTGAGCCAGACACAAAAGGATAAACATTGTATAATTCCACTTACATGAAATTTCTAGAGTAGGAAAATTTATAGAGACAGAAAATAGATTAGAGGTTACCAGAGGATGAGGGTAGCTATTACTTAATGGATACAGAGCTTTTGTTTGGGGTGACAAATACATTTGGAAATAGTGGTGATGGTTTCACAACATTGTGAGTGTAATTATTGCCACTGAATTATATACTTAAAATGATTAAAGTAGAAAATTTGTTATATATATTTTACCACAATAAAAAAGAGAGAAAAAAAAAGGTTTCCAAATTAACAATGAAAACTATTTACATTTATAGGCAAATTTTGCCTTAGGAGGAAATATTTATCACTACAAATAAGACCCCTCTAGTGAAGACCACCTAAAGGCTATGACGAACACTGACATGGATGGTGAAAATAAGTCAGTCATGGAGGTTTCTCTCACGGATATTGCCACAAAAATTTGAGTCAAAGGAGCTCTGCAATGAAGATCTAATTGCAATGAAAGAGCAATTTACTGTAAAAATATTTCCTCACTAACAAATACCAAAGACTTTCAGATGCTTTCAGGACATGAGATAGATAAGATATTATAAGACAAATGAGAAAATTTTGAATATAGATCAAATGCCCACATTGAGGAGCTGCTATGTCTGATTCAGAAAGATTTACCAGTATATACATTATTAAATACCCATTTTAAAAGTCTCAGCCCGGCTGGTCAAAGATGCAGAAAAACAGCACACTGATATTGTATCATATTCTTGGTCAAGTTTTAAAACGTAATAAGTAGGCACTGAATCATACACATTTGGTTTGTTTTCAAAAATTTAAACTTGTTACTGAAATTGATATTTTATGGGGTAAAATGGGTTTTCAAGAAGGAAACCCTAAATTAAAACAGTGTAGGGAATAATATGGGATAAATGACTAAATGTAGTGTCCATTATACAATTATTATTCAGATACCATTACATCATAAAATTTGAGAATCATTTATAAATCATGAACATTTCTTTATTACTAAAAATGTCTACCAATCAGGTAAGTTGCTTTACTTCCTTTTCTGTCTCTATGGCCTCTCACTATTTCCTCAGCTTTTTTCACAGAGATTCTCCCTGTATTTTTGTATACCTCATACCAACCTCTCACCTCTAACACCATATTATTTCTTATGTTTCAATGAAATTTTGGCCTTCCCAAATGTTTACATTAAACTGAAAATAATTTTACAATTAAGGAATGGGGAACATAAAACAAACACTTCAAGAAATATTCAGAAAATCATAAAAGCCTACTAACATATTTTAAATGAAATACAGGAACTCACAAGTTAGAAAAATGAATATTTTATACCAATCAGAGAGGTATTTGTGGAAAACAATATCCTTGTATAAAAACTATACTTAGAATTGTTTATATTATACAGTATAAAACTTTCTTATTTTTATCTAGAGATAAAATTTCTGTAATTTTATTTTAATAAAATAGATACTGTAACATTATGGGTTTTTTTTTTTTGTTTTTTTTTCCCTCGAGATGGAGTCTTGCTCTGTCACCCAGGCTAGAGTGCAGTGGCAGTATCTCGGCTCACTGCAACCTCTACCTCCTGGGTTCAAGCAATTATCCCACCTCAGCCTCCCAAGTAGCTGGGATTACAGGTGTGTGCCACCACGCCTGGCTAATATTTTGTATTTTTAGTAGAGACGGGGTTTCACCATGTTGGCCAGGCTGGTCTCGAACTCCTGACCTCGTTATCTGCCCGCCTCGGCCTTCCAAAGTGTTGTGATTACAGGCATGAGCCACTGCACCCGGCCCATGGTCTTTATTAAATGTAACGAAGTACCCCGAATTCTTCTTCCAAATCACTGATAAATTTGGTGTAATAAAGACAATCTACTGTTTTCATGGTGTTTTCCTCCCATTCTCAGTTGTAATGCCAAAAACAGTTTGATAATCTCCCCGATCTTTTGTGTCTGTGTCTCTTCCAAGGTTGAGAACAAATGTTATTATAACTGAAACTATGATCCTCAGGGAATTACCTGTGTAAAAATGTGAATTTCTGTTTTCTAACCTATGTAACCTTAATGTAAATTACACTATCTAAAATTTCATTAGGTGCTCCTATATAACAAGGAAAAAGCGTAAACGTCATTACCTTTGCAATGAATATACAGCTTCTTACTTTTCTGCTTAGCGAGTTGTTTATCACTTGTAATTGGTCGATAAAGACTAACTCTTATTCATAACCATCCATGTGTTTCTACAAACTATCTGAACAGATGAAAACAATTGTATACTACTGTCAGAATATAGGATATTCAGAGAAGAGTAATTTCACATCTCAAAGTAATCAATTTGAAGATCGCTTCTAAGAAAAATTAGACATAAAAAGTAGAAACTGGCTTGTATTAAGAATCTGTGAGTATAATACATTGAATTTAGTTCTAGACACCTTGGTAATTAAGGACTATAAGGTTCTACAAATATTTTATTACAAAAATGATATGCCAAGTAGCTGGGGCTACAGGTGTGCACCACCATATTGGGCTAGTATCTTATTTTTGTACATATGGGGTCTCACTACGTTGCCCAGGCTGGTTGGAAACTCCTGGGCTCCAGTGATCCTCCTACCTTGGCTTCTCAAAGTGTTAGGATTACAGGCATGAGCCACTGTGCCTGACCTTGTTTTTAAACAAAATTTTAGTTCTATTAGATATATAGAACCCAACATTTGAGTTCAGTAAAACAAATGACACAAAGTATATATATGCTTTACTGGCAAAAGCCTTGAAGAAAAAAAATCCTCATATTTCTTATCCTACTAACAAAGTCAGATACTTACATAGTATTCTGATGTATTTCCTAATGATTTATAGAATATCTATATTTCTTCTCTATAAAATATACCAAACCGCAAAGCACAACCAACTGCTCATATTTTTTAAAAGAAACAAAAAACCCCAGAAAACTAAGGTCTCTAGAAGAAAATTATTTAAAATCAGACCAAAAAAAAAATCAGAAGACAATACCTTCAACAGTTGGCTGCATTTCTTCTGTTTTTGGAATAAAAATTCTGATTACACTTGTGTTGATATAAATCAAAGGTAAATTGCGGGATGTCAGTGTATGGGTCCTCATGGGCTGACCAGGAGATTTTGTTTTCTCTTTTTGGGTCTTTGGTAGTTTTGCTTGAAATATACTTGCAATGGCATTAAGTAAAGGAAAATAAAGAACAATATCAAAAGCTTGTGCTGAAAGAAGAATTTCATGAAGAAAATGAGGAGAACCATCCATTAAGCCTTCAGATAACTTATGAAAACTTCTTCGCTCATTTCTTGATGTTAACTTGTGACGGACATTTTTTGTTACAGCTTTTGTGTATGTCAGAGAGAGGAATCCATGCTGCTGATGAGTGCCATCTAGAAGTTTTGTAGTTGTCTGTTCCAGAAAAAGGAAATCAAAATACACAGTTCATTAAAAACATTTTTTTAAAAATTGGAAAGAAGAAAATGATCTCAGTGAGTATTTTTACCTGTTGGTCTTACCCTACACTTCTTAATAAACACATGACTGATCAATTCTGCAGATGGGGACAAAAAACTTCTAAGATGGTTTGAATGACTGAACTAAAGATTGGAATCCTGAGTTCCAGTTCTAGATCTTGAGGAAGGTAATTAATCTTTTTGTGGCTATTTCTGTGACTTCTGCATTTTCTGCAACATTAAGAATTTGGGGTTGGGGTGTAGTAGCTCATGTCTGTAATCCCAACACTTTGGGAGGCTAAGGTGGGCAGATAACTTGAGGCCAGGAGTTCGAGATCAGCCTGGCCAACATGGTGAAATCCCATCTCTACTAAAAATACAAAAAATTAGCCAGATGTGGTGGTGTGGTAGTACATTCCTGTAATCCCAGTTGCTCGGGAGGCTGAGGCACAAGAATCGCTTCAATCCGGGAGGCAGAGGCTGCAGTGAGCCCAGATTGAGCCATTGCACTCTAGCCTGGGCAACAAAGTGACACTCTGTCTCAAACAAAAAAACTAGGTTGGAAAAGACTATCTTGATTTTATCTTTTCATTTCATGAAAATTTTTCATTATGAGTACTAAGAGGCTGTAATAAAAAGTATCACAGGTCACAGAAAGGTTATTTACTCAGGTGAAATTGAAATAACCACATTATATATTTTTATTTGAGACCAAATCTAAACAGGCCAGATGATTACCTTCACTAGATAGGATATAACAGTTGTGGAAATGGAGTTTTTCCTTCAATAATTTGGCTCATTTATACAAAGACAGAGCCTATAAAAGAAGCCTCATTGATACCATGCTTTGATAACTGAACTAAACAGTTACTGCATATTTAAACAGTAATGTGACGCAACAATATAACATTTGTCTTTCAGAACTTGCCTATTATCAATAGCTAACATATTGTTTATAAAATCTAATTATCACTATCCTGTAACTCATAATCTTTGCATATACTACTATATTAGTACACATACAACATTTAACTGAGAGTAAAATAATTATCATAACTTCAATATTTTTGCTAAACTATCTCAATTAGCTCTACTATTCAAATTGCATACTATAAACAAGTTATAGTAAAACAGTATGCTTTTAAAGAAGTAAAGTAAAATGTATACTTTCGTATTCCTCAACATACAAAAGAATATCACTTGAAAAAAATCTTCCTCAACCAATTAACAGACATGAAATATTGTTTTGGAAATTACTCAGCACAGAATTAGAGGAGAACTGTTATATCCCACATTCCCTGCCCCTCTTTCCAACACCTGAAAAAGTTAGTAGGGTCCAAAGAGGGGATTTTTAAGAGGAGAAGTGAACTGGAACAAAGCAAAAAGAAGAAAATATATTCACATAAACAGAAAAAAAAAGAGAAATAGGAAAGCTGTAATGAGTCTGAGCCTATATTATCCCATCACTCCTAAATTTCTTTTGCTTCCATTTTCTTCCTCTTATTTTGTTGCCTATCACCCACTGACGTGGTGAGAGGAAAAAATATGCAATTCAGTTACCACTGTTGATTTTGCTTTTAATTTAGACTTTATAATGAAGGAAGATAAGAAAATAAATTATCTTCGTATTTTTTTTAATTGGCCATTAAAAAACCCCCGGAAAGTAAGCATTAAATAGTTGTGCAATATAATCATCTTTCCCCATAACAGCCTGCTCTCAAAGCATTTTTCACTGTTCCCAACATTTTCACTAATTCTCCTCTGACTCCCCTTCTTTTTTACTTCTGCACTCAAAACAAAAAGATGCATAGTAAAGCAGGAAAAGTGCTACCAGTTTTATTACCATGTTGCTGGACAATGAGCAATAATGGATGGAGACGAATTGTTAGGGTATATCCCCAGTGGAAGAGGCCACAGTGATCACAGTGATGTTGTTTGTTCTAAGTGTCTAAACTGGGGAGAGGGTTAGTACTGACCACTAATCTAAAAAATCTAATTCATAATAAATCTTTATTAATAGCAATATTTGAATCCTGGAAAGAGTATAAAAGGTATTTCAATGTATAAATGTTTTAATTGGGAAAAATATTTTAAACACGTGGAATGTAAGCATATTTGAAAGGTAAGCTACATGAAGAAAGGGTGCTGTTTTTTTTTAACTGCTGCATTCCTAACTCCCTTACAATAAGGGAAAAAATGAACATTAGTTGAGGTAATATAAGTATCACTTTTCATACAGTAATAATACTTTATACTATTCAAATGTCAAAAAACACTAAGAAACTTTTAAAATGGCATTTAATTTAGACATTTAGAAAGAATTTCTGAAGAACATTAATGATAAATTTAGGGTTTCTTTATGAATATTTGTTAAAATTATTAAGAATGTTTTTCATAGACTCTAATGAACATTCAAAGAGAGGAAAATAAATCTAAACACTTTCTCTAACACAAAAGCCACATTTTTTTCCCTGCACTAATGATTAGAGACTATTGCTAGTAAAAGCTCAAAATAAAATCAGAACATATCACTTGCTATGCAAATATACTATTAAACATTAAATTTAAGAACAAAGTTAACTTTAAGAATATCAGTTAAAAGAATTAGCTTAAGAACATATCTAGATATGTTGTACCATTAGAAAAGGCAAGGTTCTAAACTTCTAAAAGTCACTGATATAGCCTTGTGTTCATCTACCTAGTCAATGACAGAAATGCAATCTTGTTCAGATTCAAGAAGGTCCCGCACAAGTTACTTTGAATTAGTTGTAAGAAAACAATGGCATAATAATAGAAAAAAAATTTTAAAAGCAATCTTATTAAGAATCATTAGAGGAATGACAAAAGCAGTATTGGTCAACTCTTGATCATTCAATACATGCACAATTTTAAAAAATATATTGAAGGTACTACTTTGATTTCCTTATATTGATGATAAAATTAGTCTGTACTCATGCAAGTGACCCAGAAACAGGTTATAGTGGAAAAGCAGTTCTACGATTTTAAATTACATTATACTTCATTTATAAAGTTTATGATATAGAGGAAAACACAAATCAAGAGTTGACTCTATGAATCATTCCATTCCTTCTCTGGGTTCCTGTTAATGGGAGTCGTGTAGCATAATTTAAAAGTAATTTCTTACAGAAGGAAAGAAGCCAGAGCAATTACTGAAAGGGTCCTGCTTGCTGATGGGTCGAACCAACAAGGTGCGTCTGTTCAGCTTGTCAGTACAGGAAAGGAAGACACCTCCACATTGCCCCAAAGACCAACACTCTTCCCCAAGGCTTGAGGTGATGGACAGGAGCAAAGAAGGTGAAAAGACAAAAAGCAATAAAAGCCATAAGCAAAAAAAAAATCTGGATAGTTTTAAATTCTCCTCAAGTTTGCATAAATTTCGATTTGAGCAACTGCTAGGTATGGCCTCTGCCTGGACCATCTTCTGCAAAAGCAATGTTAATGAAAGTAAACAAAAAATAATTGCTTTTAGTATAAAATTACAACTTCTAGTTTATGGTAAAGAACAATCCAGCATGAACTCACATAAGAATTGGGAAACAATTCCAAAAAGTCAACATAATAGTACACTAAAGATAAAGTATATTAACAAAAGCAAGCCTACCTTTGCCGTTTTGATAAATTAATTTTTATAACAGGAAGATGGTTACAAAACAAGAGCAGCTTCAAAGAATAAATAGCTTTAAATTTATATGTAATTTTGAAGAAACAGGTTAATAAGAAGTTATTCTGAACTCAAATTCTTGTAACCATTAGTCCTATTTTATTAAATAACAAAGATAAACAGTTTAAACTATATTTTCAAAAATCATAATAACTAAATGGGTCTCACCACAGATTTTTCTTTGCATTGTAGAAATACTCCTTCAAAATGTCCTGACTGCCAACCTTCCCCTGGCCTGGAAAACATAAGTTCACCTTATCTGTTCTCTTCAATTTTTCTGAGTTAAGAAATTGAACATATATAACTATTTCAAATACATCTAAAGTTCACAACACTGCATTGAACTAAAACATAAATCTGACAATGCAATCAATAGAACAATTTACATTAGCACCACACTCTGATAGTTCTGCATAAGAACAGTTGTCTTCATGGTAAATTATATATTTATTTGGCTGATTATTTACTTCCATCTCCTCCACAAGAGTAGCATCTATGTTTATTTTTCTTTTTTAAAGATGGGGCCTTGCTCTGTTGCCCAGGCTGGAGTGCAATGGCACAATCATAGCTCACTGTAACCTTGAACTCCTGGGCTCAAGCAATCCACCCACCTTAGCCTCCCCAGCAGCTGGAACTACAGGCATACACCACCATGCCCAGCTACTTTTTGTGTGTATATGGTGATGGGGTCTCGCCATCTTGTCCCAGCTGGTCTCAAACTCCTGTGCTCAAGCAATCCCCCTGCCTTGGCCTCCCAAAGTGCTGGGATCACAGGTGTGAGCCACCATGCCAGGCTATTTTTCTTAAACACTACATCCCCAGTACTCATTTAGCATAGCACTTGGTGCATACCACACACACAACAAACATATATTTTTAATAAATTAATAAATTATCTGAATATTTATAATTTATAAAAATTTAGCAGTAAAGTCAGGGATAAAGTACAACGTAATACATAATATTCATGACATTAAAAATTATTTCAGCTAAAATATTGTACTATCACTTGCAAAGATCATTTTTATACAGATACATACCATTTCAAAGGAACTAAAGAGTTGAACATTCTATGATGAAAAGCCAATTAATAATTCACTGTTTAATATGACAAAAATAATTATATGATTGGTGAGTTAATACTATTAGAAGAAGTCCTAACACATATCCAGCAAAATATTTTTATCCCATAATTGTGACAGATTTGATAATTATTGACAGACAATATGATATATGCAATAATGGATAAAAATTCAAACACTTTTAATGTAGAACTAGGAACTTGGTAAATTAAAAATAATTTTTTAGAGTACGTAATACATCAATATATGTACAGAAACATAAAGGTGCTTCTGGTGGCACACAATAAAAAATTGTTAAATAAATAAATGAAAGAAATGGATTTTAAGGCTGTTTCTAAGCCAAAAACTACAAAATTGAAAATATGATGCTATTTAAAATATTTTTGAAAAACACTTGTTTTTCAAAACAATTTTTATGGCATGTGAATTTTAGCTCAATTACAAAAAGAAGCATCACTGTACTACTATAAAGCCAAAAAAAAAAAGGCATTTGTATTTTTGTTTCAGAAAAATTTATGATAAAACCTGTACAGAGTTTTGTGAAAATATCTGAAAACTTTTTTACTAATGTTACTATTACAAGCCATGCATATTTGCATGTAATTATACTTTTGATAGAAATTTATTATGCCAGAAACAATGGTTCTAGGAACATCCACCATATACATAATAATCATCTGTGAGATGAGAGTCATCAAAGTGCTTAGGAAATGAGCTATTGCTCCATTTCAGTGCATGATTATACTGGTATAGAGAATGAATGGGAATTATACAGCAAAAATCAAAGCCATCAACTATGTTGCAGGCATCTAAGCAAATATAAAATACAGAAAATAAATTATGTAAGATTATTAGTAAAAGTAGCTTATTTCATTTAATATGGCAATGTATATATTTATGAACAGATTTGTCATCTTATAAAACAAAATTTTATTATACTCCATATGTGAACAAATACGAAATAAAATTAACCAATATATCTGTTAAGAACCCTCTTTGAGAATAAGTACAGGCATACCTCGGTTTTATGGGCTTTGCTTTATTGCATAGTGCAGATATTACATTTTACCCAAATTGAAGGTCTACGGCAGCCTTACATTGAGTAAGTCCATCAGCACCATTTTTTCCAACAATATATGCTGACTTCCAGTCTCTGCGTCACATATTGGTAATTCTTACAATACTTCAAACTTTTTCATTATTATTATACAAATACATGGTGACCTGTGATCAGTGATTTTTGACGTTATCATCATAATCATTTCAGGACATCATGAACAGTGCCCAAATAAGACGCAAACTTAATTGATCAATGCTGCGTGTTTTCTGATTGCTCCACCGACCTTACTATTTCCCATCTTTCTCCCTCACCTCAGGTCTGCCTATTCCTTGAAATATAGCAATATTGAAATGAAGCCAATCAATAACCCTACAATGGCCTCTTAAGTGTTCCAGTGAAAGAAGAGTTGCAAATCTCTCACTTTAAATAAAAATCTAAAAATGATTAAGCTTAGTGAGGAAGGCATATCAAAAGCCGAGATAAGCAGAAAACAAAGCTTCTTGTGCCAAGTTGTGAATGCAAAGGAAGATTCTTGAAGAAAATTAAAAGTGCTACTCCAGAGAACTCGCAAATGATAAGAAAGTGAAACAATCTTATTGCTGATAGGCAGAAAGTCTGAGTGGTCTGGGTAGAGGATCAAACCAGCCACACCATTCTGTTAAATCCAGAGCAAGACCCTAACTCTCTTCAATTCTAGAAATTGAGAGAGGTAAGAAAGCTGCAGAAGTTAAGTTTGAAGCTAGCAGAAGTTAGTTCATGAGGCTTAAGGAAAAAAGCCATCTCTATAATATTAATGTGCAACATGAAGCAACAAATGCTGATGGATAAGTGGCAGCAAGTTATACAAAAGATGTAGCTCAGTTCACTGATGAAGGTGGCTACACTAACAGATTTTCAATGTAGACAAAACAGTCTTCTCTTGGAAGAAGATGCCATCTAAGACTGATAGAGAGAGGAGAAGTCAATGCCTGGGTTTAAAGCTTCAAAGGACAGGCTGACTCTCTTGTTAGAGGTGAATGCAGCCGGTGAAGTTGAAGATAACGATCATTTACCATTCTGAAAATCCTAGGGCCCTTAAGAATTATGTTAAATCTACTCTTCTCCTGTGCTCTACACACGGGAATAACTAAGCTTGGATGATAGCACATCTGTTTACAGCATGGTCTCCTGAATATTTTAAGCCCTTTGTTGAGAATGGCTGCTTGTTTAGAAAACAAAATCCTTTGAAAATATTACTGTTCATTGACAATACACCTGGTTACCAAAAAGTTCTAATGGAGATACACAAGGAGATGAATGTTGTCTTCATGCCTGCTAACATCCATTCTTCAGCTCATGGATCAAGTAGTAATTCTGACTTACAAGTCTTATTACTTAAGAAATACATTCTGTAAGGCCACAGTGTGTTAATCCATTTTGCATTGCTATAAAGGAGTTCCTGAGGCTGGGTAATTTATAAAGGAAAGAGGTTTATTTGGCTCATGGTTTTGCAGGCTGTACAAGCATGGCACTATCATCTACTTGGCTGCTGGTGAGGCCTCAGGAAGCTTTTACTCATGGAAGAAGGCAAAGCAGAACAGGTGTGTCACATGGTAAGAGAGTGAGTAAGAGAAAGCGGGGAGGTGCTACGCTCTTTTTAAACAACCAGCTCTTGCATGAACTAAGAAATCGAGAGCTTCACTTGTTACCGTGGGGAGGCACCAAGTCATACATGAGAGATCCTCCCCTATGACCCAAATATCTCCCACCAGACCCAAGCTCTGACACTGGGGATCATATTTCTACATGAGATTTGGAAGGGACATATATCCAAACTGTATCAGATAGTGCTGCTTCTGAAGGTTCTAGGCAAACTAAATTGAAACACCTTCTGTAATAGATTCGCCACTGTCGACAACATTAAGAACATTCGTGATTCATGGGAGGAGGTAAAAATATCAACATTAACAGACGTTTGTAAGAAGTTGATTCCAGCCCTCATTGGTGACTTTGAGGGTTTCAAGACCTCACTGGAGGAAGTAATGGTAGATGTGGTGAAAACAATGTGAGAACTAGAAATAGGAGTGGAGTCTAAAGATGGGGCTGAATTGCTACCATCTCATGATGAAACTTGAATGGATGAGGAGTTGCTTCTTATGAATAAGCAAAGAAAGTGGTTTCTGGAGATGGAAACTACTCCTGGGGAAGATGCTGGGAACATTGTTGAAATGACAACAAACGATTCAGAATATTCCATAATCTCATTTTTTACAGCAGCAGCAAAATTTGAGAGGACTGACTCTAATTTTGAAAGAAATTCTGTTGTGGGTAAAATGCCACTAAACAGCATTGCATGCTACAGAGAAATCCTTCATAAAGAAAGATTCAATCCATGTGGCAAACTACATTATTGACTTATTTTAAGAAATTGCCACAGCTACCCTAACCTTCAGCAACCACCACCCGATCAGTCAGCAGCCATCAACATCAAGACAAGACCCTCCATTAGCAACAAGATGATGACTCATTGAGTGCTCAGATGATCATTAGCACATTTTAGCAATAAAGTATTTTTAAATTAAGGTATGTACATTTTAAAATACATAATGCTATTATACACTTCACAGACTACAGTGTAGTGTACACACACCTTTATATACACTGAGAAACCAAACAATTTGTGTCACTTGCTTTATTGAAATATTCACTTTATTGGAGTAGTCTGGAACCAAACTCCCAAAATGTCCAAGGTATGCCTGTATAATATTTATTTTAATAGCTAGCCAAATTAAAATAGAAAAACTCTTATAGCAACTTTGTTCAAAGAAAAATACAGATTTTCTTATATTCATTATTCATTATTTACCTGCTTCTATAGTGATCAATATTGAAACTCTCTATTTTACATTTCACTTTGGTATATACATCCTGGACATCTATGGAAGCACTGAGATCTTCTAGTTCACAGACCATACAAACCTCTGCAATAAGAAACAAACAGTAATATCAATACAGTCTTCACAATTAATATCAAAACTTTCCATTTTACATTTCACGTTGACATATGCATGCTGGATATGTACAGAGGCACTGAGATCACAAAAACTTCTAGAATAATAAGCAAATCAGCACAGGTCTTTCGATTAAGATAAGACATTTATTTCAAGAAAGGGGAAAGCCCAGTTAATGTCGGGAGTGTTATATTTGATACCAGTTAAGGATTTTCCCAATAATTTTAGTGACAATAGTATAATGTATCAGTATGACCACTGAGGAAAATTCCTTATGGTCTTTTAGATGAATTTTAATACAAACAGGACAAAATTTATGTATTACAAAGTCAAGGAAAATATATACACATAAACCTTTAATGTTAATAAGATTCAACATTTCAGCACTGCAACTAGAAACTCCTTGAATTAGGTTTAATAATACTTATTTAATTATAAATGACAATAAATTATGTTTAATATGTCTTCCAAAATAGCGTTTAATATTTGCACTTTTCAGTAAAGAAGAAAAGCAATCCAGGTTGGGCACGGTGGCTCACGCCTGTAATCCCAGCATTTTGGGAGGTCGAGGTGGGCGGATCACCTGAGTTCAGGAGTTCAAGACCAGACTGACAAACATGGAGAAACCTCTGTCTCTACTGAAAATACAAAATTAGCTTGGCGTGGTGGCGCATGCCTGTAATCTCAGCTACTCGGGAGGTTGAGGCAGGAGAATCGCTTGAACCCGTGAGGCAGAGGTTGCAGTGAGCCAAGGTCATGCCACTGAACTTCAGCCTGGGCAACAAGAGCAAAACTCCGTCTCAAAAAAAAAAAAAAAAAAAAAAAGGAAAAGAAGAAGAAAAGCAATCCTGTACCTGTGCCTTTATTTTCAGGATCTGGAGCAAAGAGCTTTACAGTAACTTTGGGAAGCACCCACTGCATCCATAAACTAACACGTCCACTGGTTCCGCCAATATTACTTGTAGTTTGTTCCAAGGTGACAGAATCTGAGAATGGTGAGTCCTCACCTGCTTGTATAGAATCTCCCTGGGATGAAGAGAAAAAAAAAAAATCTTATTTTGTAACATAAACAAAAAAATTTCAAATTATAAATTAAAATCAGCAATTATTATTTGTAACTTTTTCACATCTTATATGCAAATGATAATCACACAAACGTTAATACTAATACATAATGCTTATATGTAAACATATATTCTCAAATGGTTTTTGTTAGAAAGCACATGCATGTTTCCAGCTTCCTCTAAAAGTAGGTAAGATCTAGAAAAGGTTAAGATTAAACCATTGAGTATGTTCCTACAGAGTAGAGTCTGCAAGCTACAGTTAAGGGGCTAATCTGTCTGTATTGGGGAATAAAGTTTTACTAGATCACAGCCACCTCCATTCATGTATTGACTGCATATGATTTCTTTTCAGTAGAGTTGAGTAGTTGCTATAGAGAAGCTATGATCTACAAAGTCAAAGGTATTTACTAACTGGCCCTTTACAGAAAAATATTTGTCTACCCCTTCTATAGAGTATTTATAATGGAACCTAGAATAACTATAGAAAAGTGATTATCAGTTTAAGAAACAGCAAAATATTAATCATGCCTTGCATGTTAATTAAGGAGACATTAAAAATTAGTAGATTTGATAATATAATTTTTAAAATGTTTTATATGGTTAAATGTTTCTTAGCGGAATACAGCATAAGCTTACCTGATTCAACAAATACATACTGAACTCTGAATATGTATAAGGTCCTAAATTCAGTGCTAACGAACTTGCTGTCAAAGGCTTGTTGGTTTGTTTTTGGTCTTTTAAGCAGCTTTTAGTAGGCCAGAATAAAATAAACCCTTTTATTTAAAGTTGAACTGGAGTTGAATAGCTTCAGTCTCAAATGCGGAAGAGATGCTGCAATCATTGACATGTTGAGTTCTTTCAGGATTAGCTATAAATATGGGGTTCCTAAAATCCCAAACTTTGCTGTCCATTTAAAACTTGCAAACAAAATTTGCAAGTTTAAACCCATATACTCTGAAAACTGATCAAACACAATATAACATTCTTATTTGTTTAAAAGATGTATATGTATTTACATATCAGTTATAGATACTTAGTTAAGCTTAGTCTGTCAGGCAGTATGGTGTACAGGGTTAAGGAATTCAGATGCCAGTCATGTGATTTTAGGCAAGTAGTTTAACTTTTCAGAGTCTGTTTACTTCTCTGTAAAATGGTTATTATAATGATATTTATCTCTTACAGTTAAGATTAAATAGCAATATGAACCTGAATGAAGTATATACACATAGAAATATTTCATAAATTATAGGTATAACTATCATTATCAAGTTGAACTGATGCTTAAGAAATTGTTCACTCACATTCTTACAGAATTTGGTCCCTCTATTGCCTTTCTCATTTCTCATCTTTCACGTTTTCTTTTGCTGTATATCCTCAACCTCCAATAGTTTATTGTTGCTTTGAATGTCTCAAACAAAAATGTTAATTTCCTATGCTAACGAGTCATGACCAGTAGTCAACTGTCAAAACAAAACACCCCTTAAAATTTAAACAAAGACAATATAATATGATCAGTATTCCATTTTCTATAGACAGGTTGTCAGAGCAGAAGCTACTAATCTCTAAACACTTAAAAGCAGGAATGATCATTAAAATCCTATACAAAACAAACCAAAGCCCCAGCTCTCATTATCACAGACATGCCATCTAGACCAAGGTATATTCAGCTCCTACATGAGGCTTTTACTTTAACTTCATTGTTTTATAACATCTTTCAGTCAGAAGAAAATTCAATTTCCCTGCAACCTCAGAAGGAGGCCAAATGGGGAAGATTTTCACAGCATGACAGGCTGTGTTTATTGCAAGAACACTTAGGCACCAAGCATAGCAAAGTAACAGTGTTCTGGGATTTACTACTAGAGAAAATTATAGAGTTAAACCTGAAGACAGTATAGTTACTCTTTGTCCCAAATACATCAAACAAAGCAAATGGCTCACTGTTTGTGGGGTTTTCATATAAATGCTTTTACAAAATAAGTAGTTCTAAATCTGCTACAACAGAAATTCCTACAACTTGAGAAGCTATAAAAAAATCAGGTTTTTGGTTAGCTATCTAATGTAACACAACATCTAATAAAAAGCACAAACTAATTCCAGATAAGGATGCTTATTAAATAAAAGGCAAGATAATATAGCCTTTCTTGAAGGATAGGTTTTTAGAGTAGAAGTATGCTTAAATTAAATCCTCCCTCCAACAGACAGAAGAACATCATATTCCAAGAATGGAGAACTGAGAGAAAATAGCCTCTCAAATCAACAAGACTTCAATTTTTAACACTACTTGGTATACTTGCTAAGAAAACTGGCTGCAAAATTAGTAAGTATTCCTCAGTAAAAGCTTTGCTCTACTTCCTCACGCAGTTTCAATTTTCATTTTGGATTTACAACATTTTGTTTGGTATTGTTAAACATGTTTGTGCATTAATTTTCTGCTCTGTTTCTAAATCTGTTGTGAAAATCAGGCCAGAAATGGAGATGCTGAACTATTTTCCCATACATCCTTAGGCCAAGTTCTAAAATAAACAGTTCAATTCTTTGACCATTTTGTTGCAAATTGACCAAATACTAAGTTTATTTTCCTAGGTGAATTTATCTTTGTTCATTTGGAAGAGCAAACACTTTATAGCCCTTCATCCTTGGCCTGCTTCAGAGCTTAAGGATGACCATAGTTTTGGCCCCATTGCTACTTTCTCTTATCAAAATAACTCCTGCGTTCTTGTTCAATCACAAAACTTCCCAAAGGGCTAAACACTTCGACCACTGGTTGTACTTAAGTCAACAGTAACAAGTGGCTTGCTTTGGTCTCAACTACCTGTGCTCCCACTATTTCAATGCAAGAGTGGGAAAAATTAAGTGTTTTAAGCTCAGTACTTAATCTTCAAACTCATATTTCCCACTTTACCATGACTCAGACTGAAACACAGGAAGCTGGAGCTATATGTGCACAAAAGTACAGTGCTGCCTATCAACATGTCAGCATGAAAAGAAGTACGTAATCATAAAGTATAAATCATCTAAGGATCATATAAACAAATACTTCCATTTAATACAAACAATTGTTAGAATGTGTTTTCTTAAACTAGATTCATTTACAGTAAGTTCTCTATATTCAATAGTTTTGACCCAACTAGGCAAGAAAAACAATGTTTTAATAGTAAAATGTTGAAAAATTTTAATGACTGTTTCTGAGTGCAAATTGTAATTTAAAAAAATCAAACCTGCAATTTCAAAGTGTTCCGCAGATACATAATTAACATAAATAACGCAAGAAATGTAAGGTAATCTCAGATTATAAGCTTATAATTACATAATAAAACTATCTCAGTTTTAAAAAATCGAGTAGCCAATAATTTAAAGAAATTTTTGATATGAATATTTTGAAATAGGAAAGGCTTTATACACAAAATATTTTGTTGAATGGTATGTGATGGCTAAACAATAACCTTCATTTTCCTAACTTGTTTTGATATCTTAATTTTTTCCACAGCTATTCAAATAAGATAGTCTAAATGTTATGATTTCTACATTTTGAATAAAAGTTTCTCTCTAAATGTTAAGGATAAAACCATTCAAAGAAAAATATGAAATGACCTAAGTGTTTTCAGGAGTTTTAAAGCAATTACAAGAAATTGTAAAAATAGCAATTCAGTAAATTCAAACTTAATATCCTATCTAAACGGTTGTTTGAATAATAATTTGAGGTAGATTACTGCATAGGTTAATTGCACTTGAATAACTGAAAAACTGATAAGAGTTTTGCTACTACAGCAAACTCTGTCAACAACTCTGAAGTTGATGCCAAACAACCTTAGTCCAGTATTCACTTTTCAATTATCAATGTATGTTAAACAGTTACTGGACATTAAAAAAGGAACCACTTCATGCTTAATTTTTTTAACTAGGCTTATAATAACGCAATTTTAATTTTTGAATCAATAAATAATGCTTGTCACATTGTCACACTTTGCCATGACCCTAAGCTTCCCAACACTGAGTAGTTAATATATCAATTTTTATTTAGGTAGAGTTGTAAATAAATATTCTATTATTCACTCAGCATTTTAGATTATTCTGCAGCTTTGAAATTATTTCCTATACTACTGCTGTGATTAAGGAAGACATTACCAAAAACATTTTATATATACAGAAAAAGTTAAAATGAAAAAAACACTAAATAATTTGCCTAAAATCACAACTCAGAGGAATTTAATTTTGTCAACACAATATAATCCTTTAAAATCACATTTACTGAAACTACTGAAAACCCAGAGATCCAAAATATGATTTTATGTAGTTATAACCGTTTCCCAAAGACATATAGGTTATGAAAGTATCCTGTAAGGGAAGATGTGTGTGTGTACTTGTGTACGTATGTATGTGTTTGCTTTGTTTACTTGTCATGAGGAGGAATCATCAAAATGTTAGTGCTTTTAATGGCAGTTTTTATTGTTGTGCTGTTCTGTAAACAAAATAGCATAAAAATTTTAATGAGTATAATTATTTCCTATACTACTTCCTTAATCACAGCAGTAGTACAGGAAATAATTTCAAAGCTGTAGAATAATCTAAATATATAATGTTCCACTTTCTAGACCACTTACCTGAATAAAAATTTGACAACTTCATCTAACTGAAGTATAGTTCAGTATGTTCTTCATAAAATATAAAGTTTTATTTATCTTTAGAACCGATGCAACAGTGAGTGTGGCAGAAACAGGTGGCTGTATTTTCAAATTTTGCTCTCCCTTCTATAATACAAAGTTGTCTCTGAGTAACAGTAATCCAACTACGGGCTAAATTTCCCAGCCCACCTTGGAATTATGTTTATATACATAAACATAAACAATCCATACCCCATCACTAATATGATAAATTCCTCAAAGGATTAAGGATTATGTCTTAATAACTTAGATTTAAAGAGAAGACTGAATATTAATAAGCTAAGAATAAAATTTAAGAAAT